CAAATGAAATGCAAATGAACCCTAGATGCAACTTGGTGGCCAAGGATGGAATCTTTGGGTTTAGATTGGCTATATCTAGGTGCATGATAAGACCATGCAACCTTTGCCCTCCACTTGGGCCTAAGCCTTTCTAACACCAAAAATAGACCCAATAAGCACCAAAAATGCATCACCCTCTAATTAACACCCTAGCCCAAAATTAAAAACCCTAATCATCTAGAGCACCCCATAATACAAGGGTAAAATGGGAAATACAAGAGAAAATAACTTCTAAGTCCTAAACACCCAAAATACAAGGGTAAAATTGGAAAATAAAATAAACCCTATACTAATGAGGCTTAGGAGAGAACTAATACTCTATGATCATGAGGAGAGTGTCTCTTGGTGTGTGAACACCCTCCTCCTCTTCAACTCTCCTAGCCATGGACCTAGTGATGGGGCCCACATGTGTCTTCAAGGATGGTCCTCCATCACTTGTCTTCATGATTGGACGTTTATTTGTATATCGCAGATCATGTGACCCCTTCTCTTCCCCCTTCTTTTGTTCCTTTTCACGTGTCATGAATATCTTAATCTGGTATCCCTATTGTTGCATTTTGATGTTTGTTTCTGCTCTTCATTTGCTTTTCTAATTAATTGTGACAATCTAGTGGTAAGTAGGGATGTCAAAAACATCCACATCCGTGGATATAATATCTGCCACAGATAAAAAATAGGTATTGTTAATAGATATTCATGGGTAACAAGTACAAATATTTTCTATATCTACATGTTAATGGGATGGGGATGGGTATCATAGTATCCGTACTCGCGGACACTTGCTAATATTAAATTACTTAATTTATGCAGTTTTTCTTTAGGCTATATGTGTGTGTTAAGGGGTTCTATGCATATTTTTTTTTTTATTTTTTAATTTATGCAAGCTTTTTATACAAATTTTATTTATGCAGATTTTATTTTATGCAGAATTTTTATCCAGATTTTTATTTATGCAGATTTTATTTTCTGTAGACTTTATGCAGTTTTTTGTGCTATTTCTTTTAGTAAATATCCATAGATATTTGTGGATATTAAAAAAATTTACAGGTATTCATTGCATGGATATGTGGACAGGTTCAGAGTGGATACTTACTTACTCGTACCCGTTTCATCCCGTTGACATCCTTAGTGGTAAGCATATTACTTGTTTAATTTTTTTTATAAAAAAATTTGCAGCAATATGATAGGTAGCAGAAAATGGATGCAAAAACAGAGAGTAATTACTATACTAATAATGGAAATCCAAGCCTGTATCAGAGTGATAACATGACTAGGTTCAGGGAATACAAGAGACAAATACAGGGAAAAAAGAAAGAAAGCAACAATCTGAGTGCCTAACTCTCTCCCGAGTCCCACTAACTCCAGCCACCCATACACTACTTTCACCCCCTACAAATACTCATTGTCCCAAAATAAGCATCTCAGGCACCTCCCTACTACACTTACCACCTAGGCAGTTGTAAACTCTCTCTTCTTAATTCTGATCAGGTGCAACACACCTCATGTTCTGTCTAGGTGCATCCCTTCTCTTGGGCTCCCCTCTCATAAACTTTAGTTATTTTGGGCCTTGGGTTGGCATCACAATAGGTTTAAGTATTTGTAGTTCTATAACAGAATGCTTTGATTTGAGGATTAACTTGTTAGAGGAACCTCTTGTAACATGATTTAATGATGTTTGTGAAGTAATGAACAAACTGTGTTTCAAGTTAGCTCCAATAGATATTGTGATTTGCGAGCAAATTCAGCGGTAGCAGCAAGAAAATATCAGGCTGTAGTGCTGTTTGGATATTTGATTGGAATCAGTCGGTAATGATGAAACTTGGAGACACTGGTCCTCTTAGTAGGCTACTCACTCAATCTTAGAAGTTTTCATTCTTGTTCTTTCTTTGTTTTTGGCAGGATATAAGAATCTGATCTGCAACAAGAATAAAAAGGGATGGTTCCTAGTCAAGAACACCTAGTGTCGCATATGTTGTTTCCTTTTCATCTCGTTTGATAAAAATTGATTTTTCTTTTCTAAACTATAGGCATCCTTCGTAAGTAGTTGTGCTCAAAAGGTGAAAATTCAAGGCATCCTTCGTAAGTAGTTGTACTTTCAAATTATAGTAGAGTCAGTTCTCTTAGAAGGAAATTTGTTCATATATACACAAGGCTTATTTAAAGGGAATTAAGAATGTATTATTTGAACCGACCACTTGGTGATTATTATTGTTATATGTAACAAAGTTCGTGATTTTGAATTGTAACTTTCATTCAAGCTGTAGTTTTGGAGTTTGCATGAATGATACGAGTCTTAGGATTGTTACTTGCTATTCCCTTTTTCCCTACCAATCGACACAACAGTGTATACCTGTCTTTCATTGATTTGAAATAGCTAAATTACTCTTTTACTCTAACTTTTTATTTAGTTGGTTTAATTTGTTTTTTATTATTAAAAGATTAAATTTGATCTTTAAAAATAATGTTTTACTGTCTTTTTTGTCCGACTTAGATAAACTGGGTTGCTTTTACACATGACAATGCATGTCACATTTTTATTGTGTTACGTGTAGCGGAAGTTAATATCTTTGGTTTAAATTGAACATAAAACTAAAAGATAATATTATATCATTATAAAAATTAATGGATCAAATTAAAAATTTTAATGAAACTAAATTGAACCGATTAAATCAAAATAGAAAAAGAAATTAATTGAGCCATTTGAAATGTAATTGTCTCCATTTAATGATAAAGAAAGTAAATTGAACCAATTATAAACAATTTCTTTGAATGATGCACCTTGAGATGATATATTTATAACCCTTTAAAATATTTTTATCTTAAGTATGTATAATATATATATATATTTATATATATATATATATATAATTGATATGTTTGTTAAAGGCGAATAAAACAATTTAGTTGGCTGATCGTGAAATTCTAAAAAAGATTGGTGGGAGGTTAGAACATATTTTAAGGTTCAACTGTAGCCTAAAGTCACTTTAGAGTCAAATTCAACAATAATATTACAAGTGTTAATTTTTCTTTATAGTTTTAAAAATGAGAAAAAAAACGTTAGCGACACTTTTTTTCAATATTTTCTTGTGAAAAGTGTCTTTCTACTTTTGGTTAAAAATTGATGAATTTTACCACTAAATTAAGAAAAATAGTCATTAAATGATATGTCAAGCCACAAAGTTAATAGTTTTCAATAAACTTATTCAATAAAGAGTGATAGAGAGGAAGTCAATAACATTCTTTTATAAATAAATAAAAAATTAAAACTCTGCAAAGTTCATTTTAGAAGTTAAGGACAAATATTTTAATATACTTATACTCATTTAAAGAATTAATTTCTCTTGACAAATATTTTTTTATACATATAAATTATAAATTGAACTCTTCACTATATATTTAAATGTCAAGTTCTTTCTAACTTTTTTTATGCCAAAATAATTCTTAATTGATAGTTAAAATTAATCATTTTTAAATATAAAAATTATCAAAATTAGTTTAAATTTTTTCAGCATTTTTTTCCTTCTATATAATCAGGAATCAAATCCTATAAACATACTTAACAAGTATAAATATGTATCAAACTTTATTGGTAAGCTTATTTTAATGAGTTTTATAATTTTTATTATAAAAAAAATAAAAACATTTTAATAATTGTTATAGTTAATTTTATAAATAAATAAAAAAATAGTTCATAAGAGCTTATTGAATAAATTATTAACTAAACTATTTTTCTACATTCAATTTTAAGACACATCCCTCAAGTGTACCAAGAAAGAAAGTCGTGGACTATTGAGTGGAAGGTCTCGATAATCCTTGCACACCCAAAGGAAAAACCTTGAATCCTTCTCCCAATTGTACTAGACTCCCAAAAATGAAATGAGTTTGACAAACACACCGAGTATAACGTGTAGTACCTCAAAAAAGACTATTAAACTTTAGTTTAAATATAACTTAAGTAAATTATGAAATACACCTTCATACGATGACGATCATAAAATTAGAGTTATTAAAATTGATTCAACTTGATGTGCTAACCCATCGGCCCGATAAATAAGGTTAGGTTGAGCTTGTCATTTTTAGGTTCAAAAATAATCGAGGCAATTTGACAATCAAATTAGGTTAGACCAATTAAAACTAGATTTTATGTTTTTATTTATTTTTATTTTAAATTACATGTCAAATTAATAAATAAATAAAAATAAAGTAAAATTACCCATTTTAAACCAATCTAATGGACCAACAAGTTAAACCAAACCTGAGAAAACAAGACTTGTAAAAGTTAAGCTAAACATGATCAACTCATTTTTTATGATTAGCCTAATAGGTCACGTCAAGTTGACCCATTTAATATCTCTAGTTATGGGACTTTGTTAGTTATATAGTTAAGTTAAAGTCCATCAACAAACTTGTAAAAACATATAACATCCATTTCAAGAACGTGACAAACATTTGTATTTATCAAGCTACTACACATGCTATAATGATTTAATTGGTCCCTCTTCTTTATAATTCAGCAGCTAGCAACAAAATATATAAATCTAACTAAACTAATATTAATGTGCATTGAATATACATGTAGCATAATATATATGTATAAGAGTATATTGAAAACATAAAAGTTCCTCAATGGAACTACACCAATCATGTACATGTATATATACATATCTATAGTAATCCAACTGAAATCATAGTCCTAGTCGTCGGTCAAGCAACACTACAAAAAAAAAAATTACTCAGAGGTAGTTTAAGCAACAATCCCACCCTATATAGCATGGCTCCCAAAAGTGACTCACCTCTCATCTAATCTTGCTTTACTTCTGTAATAAGTATGATCATCCCAATCCATATTATGAGGAATATTGTGCACCTTGTAATACTTACTCAATGATTGTGGTCCCCAGTCTTGTACCTTACTTAGTTTGGTTGCTTTGTACGTGTATGACTTGACCTGACCCATACAACATCAACTAAGTTCACATATGATACTCAACATTTCACTTGAAGAATAAAATTCTTAAGAGAAGTTTTCAACAATTACATTTGTGTAACACCACAATGTCATATCGCTACAATGAGATATTTAACTTTGTAAAACAACACACCTCTTATAGCCATGATTTAATCAACAAAACTCAACTGCATGTTTTAACCATTCTCAACACAACCACCTCAACACTATACAATGTACAACTCTACTATATTTCAACATTTAACAACTTATAACCTTAAACAACTTAAACATCCACGTATATTATCATACATCAATGTATAAGGAAGCAAAGTCACACGACAACACATAACATGTGAGAATTTCCACAACACACAGAACATTCAAGACAGCCAAATAAACAACACATTTTCATTCAGCATCTCACGCTCGACGTCATTTTTCTTGCGGCCAACATCATTGAGGTAGAAAGCCTCTAGCTCGCCTATGTCGACACCAAACTACTTGCACTTGATGTGAATGAGGTAGATAACCCTCGTGACAATCACGTCTGAAGTGGCTAAACCCACATTTGACCTCATTCAAATAGAGAGTCTTGTCTTACTCATGCCCTACATCACAATACTAGTGTCTGACATTATCTAGATAAAGAGTTTCTATCTTATTCACACCTGGCGTCACTCAACTGGGACCTAATGTCATTAACTCAGATCTCTCCTCCAACTCACGATTGGGGATACCAATCTCATGTCTGGAAAGAATGAGGTAGAAAGCCCATGGCTTGCATCACACTTGATGCCTTGGAGTTGTACTCGATGCAATGGTGATTTCTACACTTGGCATAATCACGAATTTGGCTCCTTTCACCTAAAAACTCAATTCCAACCAGAAAAATACCACAAGCAACCAACATTTGGCTAGAATCAAATTAACCTCAACATACTTAAAGAACACCAAAACTGATAACATAAGGATTTCCTCTCGATCATTAACAACCACAAATTAATTGAAAATCAAGCAACATACAATTCCATAATTCATCAAAAAATAAAGTTTTAGCCTCCCTTGCTTGAAAATCAATTAAAAAGAGGGAGAAGGAAAAGATGGAACCATTTCGAATTTTTTTTTGCACTACCCCACCATATCTTTAATGCTCAACTCCATAGGCTTTGGATCCTTACTCAACCACTCAAACTCACTCAAGAAAGATTCTCTACACTCTCCAAAAGGCCAAGAGGAAGAAAGAAAGATTTAAAGTTTCAAAATTTCTCTCTCTAACTTTTGTCTAATTTTATCAAAAAAATGAACTAATAAAGTTTATTTCTTAAGAAAAATCTAAAATATGGTTTTCCTAACAGATAAACTTGATATTTGTTCAAAACAACTTATAACAACTAAAACTCATAAAAATTTACCAGTTTATAAAGTCACATAACAATCAACAACTAATTATCTAGTCACAACAATATTTAAATCAACAAAATCAACAATATCAATAAATTTTACACTGTTACACATATCATAACAAATTTTATTGAGTAAACTTTATGAAAATAAGTATTTTCTTTTAAAAAATTGTAGTTAAAATTTATAAATAATCTCTAGATTAGAGATTATTGAATAAATCATTGACTAGACTATTTCCTTTTTTTCAAAATGCATTCATTATTTTTATTTGTCTTTTTTGACTTACTAACGTAAACCCAAACCAAAACGAACCCAACCCAATAGCGAAAGCCCCTTTACCTTTTACCTTTCTTTTCCCTTCCCGCCATTGAGACTTTTGCTTGCATTCTTTTCGTTTTCCTTTTCTCTTGCTGATGGCCTCGTAACTCGCGTCGCTCACTCCACTCGTAACGTACTTCCATTCTAGGTCAACCCACGCCAGCACCATGGAGGAATCCAGTTCTAGGGTTTCTCCCACTCTTCACCAGCCAACCGCTGGCATCATCAAGAGACTTCGACTCGAGAACTTCATGTGCCACTCCAAACACGAAACCGACTTTGGAAATCACGTCAATTTCATTACCGGCCAAAACGGAAGTCAGTTTTCCTTTCTAATTATTATTGTTTTCCTGAATTGAGTTTTGTGCTAGGTTATGTATATGTGTTGTTTGTGAACTCTTTTTATGTAGGATTTAGTGTTTGGGAAATTTGTGTGTAGTATAAGGGAAGACTATTTAGTGTTTGTTTCGCTCTGGCGTTTACAGGTGGTAAGAGTGCAATCCTGACTGCATTGTGTGTTGCATTTGGCTGTCGAGCGAAGGGGACTCAAAGGGCATCCACTTTGAAGGACTTCATTAAAACTGGTGCCAGGTATGTGTGCCGTTCTCAATAACTTACATGCACCGGGTTTCCAAATGA